TCCCCAATCAGCCCTGCTCTGAGCCCGACCAGGGGCTGCACCTAGGGATTGGGCCTGCCCTCTGCCACCCGGGAGCTGGGTCTAAGCCACAGGGCGTTATCTCCCAAGGGGTCCCAGACTGCAAGAGGGCACAGGCTGGGCTGAGGGACCCCCCTCCCCCCCCGAGTGCACAAATTTCTGTGCACCGGGCCTCTAGTTCATATATAAATATAAATAAAAGTACGGATACTTTGGATAAGAGGTTAAAATGGATCTTTGAGGTGAAAGTTGAGACTGCAAGAAAAAATGAGGCTGTGACTGGCAGAGGGTTTTGGAGGCAAACATCTCCCAGGTGCTGGGTGCCCTTAGAAAGTTAGGGAAATGTGGGGAGGTCAGAAAGACCCTCCACCTCCAATCCTTTAATTATGTGAGCCTTCAGGGGTTTTTTACACAGTCGACCTGAGAAACTTCCGGACCTGTAGAAAATTTTTATGAGTTTATTTGAGCCAAACAGACAACATATGCTGGGGAGCAAGATTTGAAATGCTCTGGAGGAAAACCATTTTGTAGCTTCTTTCATGCATTTGACATTCAGGAGGGGACGCAAGAAAGGTTACAGGAAGGTGTAGAAAGCCAGGTGGGGGTGGGATGACAGGACAGTTAAGATTAAGTGCTCTCTTGTGGGGTACCACCCCCTTCAAGGGATATCACTTTCTGTATTTCAAGGGCGTGTTATCCTACCTGCACAAGAACAATGGACAGGCTTGCTTAAGGCAAAGGTAAACCTTTCACCAGAGAAGTTATGTGTCAGGGGCTTGGATCCCACCATGCCCTGCCCCGTCAGGAATTTATGATCAGATCACCTGTGAGGTTAGTTCCACTGAGCCTCCTGTTCCACCCACAGCTCAAACCTCGCTGGGTTTCTTTTCTTTGTCTCTTTTATTTTTCCGAGCTAACATTGGTTTATAACATGTAAGTTGCATTGGCTTTGTTTTCGTGAAGTAACATTTCTATTTTTAAAGTAAAATGTTATTCAACCCCAAAAGGCAAACACTTCACTGACGTCACACCTTGTGTTGGACTCTAGGATCTGGAGTTGGGCTCTCCCTCCAGAGAGCACGCCCTCACCTTCCCCTGGCACTACCTTTGCCTTTCTCTCTCCTCAAAACCAAGGGCCTTTCTTCTGCCTGGAACTTGTTTCCTGAGCCAGTGCAGCCAAGCTGGCTCACTTCTACTACCTCTGTGGTTTTCTAGATAAACTTTCTTTTATAATTTCAATAAACAAATGAAGGCAGAGGGTTAATAAAAACCCAAATAAATAATACTGTTTAAAAATCCCTTAAGTTGCCCAGAGTCACAATGGTACCATATATCAACAAGAGCCAGTGTTCCCTCCAGCGCTTGGATGATCTGCAGTTTATTTGAACAACACAGAAAGCTTATTGGTCACGTCCAATCATCCCAGGCGCCTATCATCACAGGCCCAGGAGACTGAGTGTAGAAACTCCCAGGAATCAAGGTCCACTGAGTGGCCTGCAGTTTTCCTCTGCAGGCTCGAGCATACACCAGATGGACACATATATTTCTTTCACTCTCCCTCTCCCTCACTCTCTCTTCCCCACCTCTTATCACCAAGGTTATGGGGTGAAATTCCTGTAAAGTTAGTTTGTGTGAAAGGAAGCTTAGCAGTGTGAGTAAGAGGACAGTCTATACATCACACTGGGTCTGAACCCTGGCTCTGCCAATTGCTGGCTGTATGTCTTCAGGCAAGTTTCCTAACCTCTCTGAGCACCAGTTTCCTCATCTACAAAGGAAGCATGAGAAGCTGGGGATAGGCACCTCTTAGGATTGCTCTGAAGGCTGAATGAGCTCTTATTTGTAAGTCATTTAGAGCATTTTCGGAAACAGGAAGTTCCATTTCAATGTTTGTTAAATTATAAAATAATTGGCTGTGTTTTCCCATTTTTTTAAATGAAGAAATGTCAGTCCTCTTACCCAAGTCACCCATAAACTTCTGTTTGATGCTTCAGACCTGGAGATCAGTTCTTCCTCCAGTGTTGCAAAACCCCAGTTTCTGCACTGGCCAGGAACTCAGTTGGTTAGAGTGCTAAGGTTCTGGGTTTGACCCCTGGTCAGGACACATACAAGCATCCCCCAATGAATGCATAAATAAGTGGAACAGTAAATCCATGTTTCTCTGTCTCTGTCTCTCTCTCTCTCTCTCTCTCTCTCTCTCTCTCTCCCTTCCTCTCTCTAAAATCTATACAGAGCACCTTCACAGGTGTGGAGGGAACGTGGGTGGAGGCAGCAGGCATTCTGCAAGCTGCACAAATGACAAGCCATGTGTCTTTGTCACTGGTTCCAGGTTTGGTGGGAGGAGGACAGAAGGTTCTAGCTTTGTGATCTGTACAGATACAGAGATGGAGTTTCTCAGTCATGAACCATTAGGGGCAAGTAATACCTGGAACCAAGCCACTGCCTTTAACCTAAAATAAATAATTGTAAAGGCTGAAGACATAGCCTTGGGTTAACCATGTAACCAATATTAAACCAAACATCGTTTCCCTCCTACTTCCTCCTCCCCAACTAGTAATATTCAGACCAGACCATGTTTTGTGGGGAAGTATGGGCCTTGGTTGGCAAGTCTGTAAGGAGGGTTCTCCAAAAGGTTGGGGCAAATGACAAGCCATGTGTCTTTGTCACTGGTTCCAGGTTTGGTGGGAGGAGGACAGAAGGTTCTAGCTTTGTGATCTGTACAGATACAGAGATGGAGTTTCTCAGTCATGAACCATTAGGGGCAAGTAATCCCTGGAACCAAGCCCACTGCCTTAACCTAAAATAAATAATTGTAAAGGCTGAAGACATAGCCTTGGGTTAACCATGTAACCAATATTAAACCAAACATCGTTTCCCTCCTACTTCCTCCTCCCCAACTAGTAATATTCAGACCAGACCATGTTTTGTGGGGAATTATGGGCCTTGGTTGGAGGATTCTGTAAGGAGGATTCTCCAAAAGGTTGGGGGCATCTGGGGGGACCTTGCCAAAGATGGCAGCCCTTACCTTGACTTTTCCAAACAAGTCTGATCCCCTGGGTGTTTTGTTGGAATCTCTATGTTTAGTCTTTAAGACCTGACCTTGAAGAAGCAGGTACATTCTCAAGGATATTTACCCTGTTGATTGTATCTAGAGGTTAAATTTAGTTCAAGCCGTTGTTACAATAAAAGGCTAACAGGGCAGGCATTTCGGGCTCTTTTGGTTCCTAAAGCTGAACAAGCCCCTTAGCCTTCTCTTTCACAGATATGTGTGTCAAAGCAATGTGTTCATCCGTCTCTTAGGGTCTTCTGGTCAGCCCCAGCAAAGTTCTATGTATTTTGTATCTTATTAAGCAGAGTAGGGGACAGAGAAGGTGTCTTGTGGACACTGGGTATCTGTGCTGATGATATTAATTGATCAGCAAAACCCTGGAGGAATGGGGGTGGAAAGAAGGGGAGAGTATTCTGAGTAGTCAGAATAACACAAGCAAAGGTGCAAAGATATAAAAGGTAGCATTCATAGCCCAGCCAGCATGGCTCAGTGATTGAGCATCCACCTATGAACCAGGAGGTCATGGCTCAATGGCAGGTCAGGGCATGTGCCCAGGTTGCGGGATCCATCCATGGTGTGGGGCATGCAGGAGGCAATCAATGATTCTCTTCACCATTGATGTTTCTATCTCTCTTTCCCAGTGCCTTCCTCTCTGAAATCAATAAAAATATATTTTTTAAAGTAGCATTCAAAGAGATTTGAGAGGAGCTGCTGCTCAGCATGTCAGGGAGGCACAGAGGGGAGGAGCTGAGAGAGTGAGTGGGGCCCAGAACACACAGGGCCATGGGGACTTTGGTGTAGATATTGAGCTTATTGGGAAAACAATGGGCGGTATCGAGAGGTTGTTAACAAGGGAGAGATCTAATCCAATTTGTATTTTGAAAAGATCACTGTCCTGCAGGGTGGAGAATGGCTTGGAAAAAGAATAGATTTAGAAAGACCTGTTAGAGAGTCTTAGAATAATTTAGGTGCAAGATGGTGGTGGCTTGGACAAGGTGCTGGGGACATGAGGAAGTTAAGAAGGCTGAGAATTTTGGAGCTAGAATTGGAGGGTGTGCTCGCTAGATGTGGGAGCTAAGAGGGGCTGGAGAGTCAAGGTGGACTCCCAGGTTTTGAGCTTGGGCAGTGATGATATTCACTGAAACACAGAGAGCACTGGAGAAGAATTAGTCCCAGGAGGCAGGAGAGATTAGGATGCTGTGGGTGTGAGATGCTGAGAGACGTCCCAGAAGAGATGCTCAGTGGGCAGTTGCGTCTGAAGCTCAGAACAGAGGTCCCTGGTATGTAATTTCCTGTGGGTGTGCCACAGCCCTCAGAGAGATGGGAACAGGGAGTGTGAATGGCTCTCCAGGCCCCGCCCTAGTAATAGAAGAGCTCTTCAAAGCCACAGCTCCTCATGGGAGAGTTGAGTTTTTCTCAAGGAGTTATGCACACAGAGTTCCTTCAGAAGCAGTAAGGGCAGGGTGGAGAAATGCTTCAGACCCAGTTGAGTAGCCCCTGGATTCAATTTTCTGTCTTTCCATCTACCAGCTGTTTCTGTTGTGTGTGTGTGTGTTTAAATATTAAATGTCTATTGTTCAAAGTATTACATATGTTCCCCTTTTCCCCCATTCCCTCCTTCAAGCCTACCCCACCCCCTGTTTGTTTATTATTTATTAGTTAATCCTCACATGAGGATATTTGTTTTTCATTGATTTTTAGAGAGTGTGGGAGGGGGAGAGACACAGAGAGAAACATTGATGTAAGAGAGACACATCAATTGTTGTCTTCCACACGCACCCCAACCAGGGCTGCCTGCAACTGAGGTACATGCCCTTGACCAGAATCAAACCCAAGACCCTTCAGTCCAATGTTCTAAACACTGAGTCAAATTGGGTAGGGCTGTTTCTGTTAGGTTTTGATGCTGTTCTCAGAAAGGCCCCTCCCTTATTGTCCCCAATGGCTGCCAGCATTGCCCCAAACTACCAATAACAGATGCTAATCCAGAAAAAGAGCAACAGACTTCATCCCAGTATCCCCAGCCTTAAGGATCATTAGGATTGAACCAGTTGAAGTGGCATGTGCCTAGGAAATCCGATTGGCGTGCCTTTGGGACTGGGGTGGGAGTGAGTCCTGAGCCCCACACAAACCACATGACTTGAGAGTGAGACAGGTGCTCGCTGTCTGAGAACCAGATTCCCAAGCCCTCGGTCACATCCTCCTATGGTTACAAAGCTGAGGCCACTGTATTTTGGAGTCAGCAGGGAAGTACTGCAGCTGAAGACCTCTGATTTCGTGTGGTGCCTGTCAGATCCAGGCTGGATTATGGCTACTGTGGAGACCATGATTGAACCATGGACAGCAGGGTCTACTGTCTTCATCCACCATCTGCCCCCGT